CCCTGCAAAGGCCGTGGCTTTAACTATCCCTTCTCAGGTGGAGCTGGGCCTGAGAGATCGAGATTTCCTGTTGGTTTGAGTAGTCATAGTTCATGTGTTCCTGGCTTGTAATTTTCCTATGGCTTCATTTTATAAAACCTTTCTTAGCTACCAGTTTCATTCTTGTATGGAGAAAGAGAAGGAAGGAGGGGAGGTAACGAGAGGGGGGGAGAGAGAGAAATATCAATTTGTTGTTTAACTTACATTGGTTGATTTTTGTATGTACCCTGACCAGGAATTGAACTAGCAACCTTGGCATATCAGGAGGACACTCGAACCAACGGAGCTACTCGACCAGGGTGCCAGTTTCACTTTTGAGAATTCTTGTCAGGTCAGTCTCTGTGATCCTCAGACCTGCTAGACCCAGTAGAAGCACCCTGGGAAGCTCTGCAGCTGATCTTCATTGTTCTTAGTTTTAGCTATGATGGAGACCCATGGACTGTTCCTCCAAATGCCCCAGCCTCCATGATACATGTATCCCTTCCTTACTGTCTGAGTCTTTATAGTTCCTGAGTTCAGATGGTGAGAATGTGAAGTTATCCAAGTGTGTTTGGTCCATAAGTTTCAAGTAGCCTGTAGCAGGCATTCAGACAGTGAGGATTGCCTGTCTGTGTAAAAGCCTCTAATGTAACTTTACCAACTGCAGAGAGTTATATGCATCCTTCAGTCTAGGATGGAGTTACAAAAGCCAGGATTTTTTTTTTCAATATGTTTTTATTAATTTTTTAGAGAGAGAGGAAGGAAGAGAGATACTAGCCTCTAGGCCCATGGGACTATACTCAGTCCACGGAGCCACGCTGGCTGGGCGAAAGGAGATGTTAAATCAGTGGCTAACCATTATGAAAATAAGTTAGAGCTCCATCTCATTTTTTACAATAAAATTAATTTCTTATTAGTATTTTAATGTAAAAAATAAATTAAAATTTTAGAATATAATAGAAGTATTTCTAAGTGATGTCGCCTCACTCAGGAGTAGAAACTGTAAAATAAAACATTGATAAAATTTCATCAAATAAAATATTTAAACATTCTGTATATCAAAGAACATTATAAACAAAGATGAAAACCACACATATGACTAACAAAGGGTTACTGTCCTGACTACATGATAAGCTATTTAAAATCAATAATAAAATAATGAATAACCCAATGCAAAAAAGGGGGGGGGTGCTAAGGACATTAGTGGCTGAGAAGAAATGCAAATGCCACCTTGTGGTGTATTTAATTCATGGTTCTGGATTATGAGCCACTTCTCTCTGTACTTCTGTGCTTCCTTTGACGTTGTCATCTAATCTGTCCTAGCTGAACCTTCGTCATGTGTTTGTAAATCAGGAAATCATATAGGCAGATATCCTCTCTTTTTTTTTTTTTTTTTAAGTTTTCTTCACTGTCCATGCCCATTTATTCTTCCAAATAATCTTTTTTTTTCCCAAAGTTCTTTAACATTCTTGGGATTTAAGTTGAAATGACAGTAAACCTAAAACTTATTTGGAGTAAAATTGACAGCCTTCAAATGTTCAGCCTTCCTATCCAGGAGCACAGTATTTCCATGTATTGAGATTGAGCTTAAAACAACTTCTTTAGCCCTGGCTAGTGTTGTTCAGTGGTTAGAAGGGTCTCGGGTTCAAATCCCAGTCAAAATTTGATTCCAGGCCCTGGTGTGTCTCGCTCACGTTGATGTTTCTGTCTTCCTCCCTCCCCCCCCTCTCTTTCTCTCCCTCTCCCTCTCCCTCCTGCTCTCTCCCTCCCTCCCTTCCACACTCTCTAAAAAATCAATGGAAAAAAATATCCTTGGGTAAGGATTAACAAAAAACAACTCTTTCATCATGTTATTCCCCTGCTTAAAAATCCTTCCTGGCAGCCTTTACCATCTGTTTTCAAATCCTTTTCCAGCTTCCTTAGTACAGATTCTTCTCTTCAGACCAGCTATTTTTCTGTCTTCTGGTCAGACCTCTCTCTTGGCTTTCTCCCACATCACCGCTTCAGACTTCGAAGTCCTCCCTCGCCCGAGCCTCTCTCCAGGTTGTGCTTGGTCAAGGGCTTGGAGACTGCATCCCACAGAGAGCACTTCCTCCCTGTATCCATAGCATGCATTGTATTTCCCACTCAGAAATTCTATTACTTTGTAACATTTATTCTGTTATTTTATTTTTCTAATTGCTTTTTAGTCTCCTGTTTTGTAAGCTTCTTGCAGACAATTCCGTCTCATTTTTTATAGCCTCAGCTGTGCCCTTTGGTACAGTACCTACTCACCACATATGTCTTTTGAACACTTAAAATGTGACTCATCCCACTGAGACAGGTGAGCAAAAAATGCACTGGGTTTCAAGACTCAGTACAAAAGAATAAATTAATTTTTATACTGATTAGATGTTGAAAGGATAATATTTTGGATATAGTGGATTGGATTAAAATTAATTTCACCTATTTCTTTATGCTTTTTTAAAATGAGGGTCCTAGAAAATCTTCAGCTACACCTGAGGCTCACATTTCTGGCTTGAATTATGTTTCAGGAAACAGAAATTAAAGATAAAACTCATCAGAATGTGAAATAAATGTTAGCTCCAAAGTGCAGTCTTCTGACTTTGTGAAATGCAATATCTAATGTAAGAAAGACCAAAAGCCCTGGCCTGTGTGGCTCAGTTGGTTGAACGCTACCCTGTGCACCAAAGTTACTGGTTCGATTTCAGTCAGGGCACATTGTTTTGTCTCTCTCTCTCTCCACTCCATTTCCTTCCCTTTTCTCTCTGAAATCAATGGAGGGAGAGGGAGAGAGAGAGAGAGAAAGAGAAGGCAGCCAATCACTGTGCCCCTCCCCCCCATCTGATGAAAAATGTCCTTGGGTGAGGATTTAAAAAAAGAAAGAGAGAGACCAAATGATCTTACACTTCTGAACTACAAAAAGGACTTTTAGGACCACTTAAGTGATTAACCTCATCTAACTTTAAAAATTTCACCATTAAATGGTCAAGTAAATCCAAATGAATAAGAGGATGAGCATTGGAAAAGGCAAAGAAATGTTAAATGGACACTTGTGGCCAAATTAATAGCAAACTCATAAGTTAGAGGTTACCTCTCACTAACAGGCCAGGTGCAATATTGGGAACAGCTGGCTGTTTCCTTTCTCTCTGTTCTTCCTCCTTCCTCCTACCTCTTAGGTTTCTTCTGTTTCTTCCATTCCTCTCTGGTTTTTTTGTTGTTGTTGTTGTTCAGATAGAGTGTGAGGGAGAGAGAGGAAGAGAGAGAGCAACATCGACGTGAAAGGGACATATCTAGTGGCTGCCACCCACACGACCCAACCAGGGCCGGGGACAAACCGCAACCAAGGCACATGCTCTTAGTGGGAACCAAACCCGGGTCTCTCCGGACCACAGTCCGACGCTCTAACCACTGAGCCAAACCAGCCAGAGCCATTCCTCTCCTTTTAAAAAAAAAAACAAAAACATTTTTTTTCTACTTTTTTTTTTTATCTTCACCCAAGGACATTTTTCCATTTTTTTGTTCAGACAGAGTGGGAGGGAGAGAGAGGAAGAGGGAGAGAGAGAGAGAAACATTGACATGAAAGGGACACATCGAGTGGCTGCCACCCGCACAACCAACCAGGGCCGGGGACAAACAGCAACTGAGGCACACGCCCTTAGCAGGAACCGAACCTGGGTCTCTCTGGACCACAGGCCGACACTCTAACCGCTGAGCCAAACCGGCCAGGGCTTTTCTACTTTCATGTATCTTTTTTTCATAACTTATAATGCTAGATTAAAAAAAACATTTAAATTAAAGTACACTGCTCATTTACTTCTTTAATTCACCCAAAATTTATTTTTGAACATATGACATAGTAAAATATTTTTGACAAGTAGCTAACCTTTATTTTTTTCAGTTGAATTTTAGAGGGCGAGGAAGAGAGAGAGAAGCATCACTGTGAGAGCCGAACATAGATCTGGCTGCCTCCTGCACACCCCCACCAAGAATGCTGCCTGTGACCTGGGCATGTGCCCTGACCCGGAATCATACTGAACCCGGACAACAAATGGGTCTGCCCACCTGTCACTACTTGAGCCAATTAAGCAGAGACAAGGTAGAATCATATATAAGCTTTTATTCCAATGTTGGCGGCAGTATAGGAGAGCAACCAGGTCATCCTGTAAAACTCTGCTCTGCACTCCCTCCATATCCCGTCACTTATATTGGGCAAAGGGAATAACAGTGGGTAAAACAGTTACAGATTACAGGCATGAGGAAGTAATGGGAGCTGGGGAATGTGGGCTGTCTCCAGGGCAGGACGCCAAGACTCCAAGGCTGTTAGTCTTTCCATGATTGGGGTGGGGGGATGCAGTTCTTCAGTAAGGGGAATTCCTGAGGTAAAATCCCGGGGTGTCCAGCTCCCAGCCAGGTCAGAATAGGCTTCTTTAATCAGAACAAAGCAGTCACAATTAACAGAGTAAGATGTTCAACATTTCTTATAACTATGACTAGCATCCCATTACGATTAGTTCTTTGCTATTCTATTATTCTCTCCCACCCCTTTCAGAACTGGCAACCCTTCAGTGCACAGGACGACGCCCAACCAACTGAGCCACACTGGCCGGGGCCAGAGCACTATTTCTTGAATACGCCATTGTTTTCTTGTTGATTTATAATGACAGTAATAATTATTGAGAGCTTACTATGGGCAAGGCAGTGTTTTGAAAGCTTTGTATTTAAGTTCCTGCTTGCATTTCTTGAATAAAGGTTTTCCTCATGTTTAGACATTTGAAATGAATTCATTATGTTTTCTTTAATTAAGCCATTAAAAATACAAAGTAAGTTGCTTTTCTACTTGGGTCCCGATTTTGTGTTCCCTGGGAGTTGAAAGTCTCTCATGAAAACAAGTAACTTCCTTCTACTTGAAGACTAATGGAGGTGTTACTGAGAACAAGAAATTCCACTTTTCCGTTTCTCATCAGGGGTGTTATTTATAGGTGGCCTTCAGGTTTCAAGAAAGCTGGAAAGAAGGACATGTGCCCTTTGTCCCAAAGACCTTGAGTGTGGAATCCTGTACTGTGCACCATCAGAGGAAATAGCTGCTCATGAAAATTGCTTGGTAAGTTACTTGAAAACACATAAGTACTTTTAGGGGAGGACATACCAAAGTAGAAAAATGGTACTTTGAATATAAAGAATGATGAGTTGGCCAAGGTTTGGACTTTTAAGTGAGAATTTGGGGAGCATATTTTTCTAACCTTTTAAATTGTTTTAGATCTTACCACCTTATGATTACTTTTAATTTTATTTATAACTGATATAGCACATAAGAGCGCAGCCAGTGTGGCTCAGTGGTTGAGCATTGACCCATGCACCAGGAGGTCACTGGTTCAATTCCCAGTCAGGGCACATGCTCAGGTTGTGGGCCAAATCTCCAGTGAGGGGCATGCAGGAGGCGGCCAGTCGATGTTCTCTCTCATCAATGTTTCTGTCCCTCTCCCTTCCTCCCTCTCTAAAAAAACAAACAAGAACAACAACAAAAAACAAGAATTATGAAGAAGCTTTTTTAAAGAAATGTAAATGAAATATTTCACGTATAACAGATACCCATAGACAATTCAACCAGATTTGTAAAATCAGGATATTACATATTTGCTTCAGCTTCACGTTTTCTAAAGAAATAAAACATACATCGTTAAGGACCCTCTACTTCTCTCTGTTCCCTGATCTATTCCTCCTGAGAGAGAATTGCTGTCACAAATTTGTATTTTTTTTTATCTTGTGTTTTTAGCGTTGTGCTCCCACCACATATATTTAAATATTTATAAATTAGGTATGATATTGTTTTACATGTTCTTGGGCTTTATAGAAGTTCTATCAAAGTCTGTAGATTATTGAGATTTATCTATAGCTCTGCCTTTAATTTTAAATGTTATAAGTATTCCATTTCATGACTGGATCACTATCTAAGTATTCATCTGGGAATAAACAGTTAGGTTTTTACACTGTTTTTTTATTTTCTGTGTGTTTTTTTATAACTAACTTTAGCTGTCATGAACATCCTTGTATAGGTCTCCTAATTCACAGGAGAATTTCCCTGGCCTAAGGCACAGAGTGAAAAGCAGAACTGCTGGGCGCGGGGAGGGAGCACTGTGCACCTCACTGCATGTGCCAAAAAGCTCTCTGTGTTTTACTTCCACTATTGCTTCAGAATTCATTTCTCTTCTTCCTCACCAACACTTGATATTATGAGATTTTAATGTTTTCCTCTTTGATGGGTGTGACAGTGTCAACCAATCATTGGCGCCAATGTAGTGCCAATAGGAATCCCCAATTTGAGGTTCAGTGAACAAGAAAACTACTCAGTGTAAACAACTCAATTGTGTTATAGCTCAATTATGAAATAGTGGGGCTGTGGAACAGCACAGTTGTGAGGCATCCCTGGGGCATGCCTTTTCTGTTAGACAGCTCTGCTCTGCTCCGCTCCAGCAATACATCTTCAGTGTTTTCAGCCTTGGGAAAGGGAAATGTGCTCTCTGGGCTAGAGGGGAGCTGACATATAGAGAGAAGGCCTTGCCTCTGGTCCCCTGATTGGTCCATCCTCATGCAAATGAGGACACCAAATCCTCACAGTTTGATTGGTCCAAAAGCACTGTCCTGGCTGGTTATGATGGAGTTGCTCTGATTGTTTGGTGAGGATGCTAATGGCTATACCTGTACAACTCTGATTGGATGATTGGATGGGGAAAGCCTCAGCCCTATTGGTTGAAATAGGATTACAGGAACTTCTTTATAAGGGCTGGCTCAGATGGCAGGAACACAGCACAGAAGGCAGTTTAGTGCAGGAGGCAGGCATCTTAATGCAGGCTTCTCCCTGAAGTGTAGTTTGCATGAAAGGCCCCTATTTAGAAATGGCTGCTATGCTCTGTTTTTTTTGTTGTTGTTTGTTTTTAATTTTGAGCCTTGGCCACCAGGATCTCTTCTTGGTAGGTATCTTCTTTCTCAGGGACCACAAAGGTCCTCGTTGTTGTTTTTGTTTGCAGTTCTTAGATTACCAGTGGAGTTGTGCCTTATTTGCTGTGTGAATGAGTGGTTCTCTTTTTCACTTCTGTGACTTGTGTTTATAGACTACATTTTATCTTTGAGATGTTGGTTTTGTTTATTTACATATAACTAGGTTCTAATGCTTTATTATATATGTTTCTTTTACATTCATTTATGGTGTTTTCTATCAGGACAAATCTTGTAATCATTAAGTTCATCATTATTTTTCTATATAATTTCTGAGATTGTTTTTTCCGCTGAGAAATTCTTTCATACTAAAATTCTTTTTATTTTTTCACAGAAGTTTTAAAATTTGGTTTTTCTCATATAGCTTCTTAATCCAACTGGATTCTAGTATAGATATACTTTTATTTTTATATGATTAACCACTTTTTCCAGCACTATTTATTGAATAATCTATCCTTTCCTCACCGATTTGTAGTGGTAATAATGATAACTATTATTATTCAGTGTTCTCTAGGTATAAGATAATGGTCTGGAAGCTTAACCTATATTAAACTATTACTCCTCATAACAGCCCTAAGAAGTAGGCATTGTTATGCCCAAAGATGAAACTACTGAGTCACAGAGAAGTTACATCACTTGCCCAAGGTCATTAAATTCTCACCCAGGCTTTCTAGGTCTAGAACCCTCGTGCTTATCCATTGTACTAACAATGTAGTATATCATATGTGTACAGATGTGTTTCTGGCTCTCTATTCTGTTCCATTGGTCACTTTGTCTGTCACTGAGCTGGTACAACAATGTCTCAGTTACTATGATTTTATGATAAACATTGGCATATTTTGTGTGAGATTTGAATTTTGGGATCAGCTTACCAGGTTTCATAAAAATTCCCGTTAGAATTTTAACTGAAACCCCATTGAATTTGTAGATCAGTTTGGGAAAAATTAGGCACTCTCATGATAAATGAGTTTTTCTATCCATTAACGGGGTTTGTCTCTCCCATTATTCAGGTCTTTTATGAATTTTAGAAATGATCAGGACTTTTTTCTTTTCTTTGAAGGTCTAAAACTTTGGGTTAGGCTTATTCCTGGGTTTGTTTTGTTACTTTTTCCTAATACCTGTTTAAAATGAGCTATTATTGGTATATACAAACACTATTGATTTTTTTAAAACACTATTGATTTTTATTTATTGATCTTATCCAACAATCTTGCTAACTCACATTAATTCTAAAAGTCTTTAAATTCACCTGGATTATTTTGTTTGGACAAGCCTCATCTGTAAATAAAGATGATTTTTTTCCTTTTAATTTTTGGGCCTCTTAATTTCTCTTTCTTGTTTTATTGCATTTTTCTAGAACATTCTGTTATAGTGATTAGAAATTTTTATTTATTTATTTATTTATAGAAGCTTTTGAAGTAGGGAGCTTTGTCTTGTTTCTTATATTGATTGGATGCTTCTAAGGTTTTAAACTTGTGTATACTTTATGTTTTTAATGCTTCACTTTATTAAAATAAGAATGTTTTCTGCCTGACCAGTGTGGCTTAGTGGATTGAGCATCGTCCCATGGACTGAGAGGTCCCAGTTAGATTCCCAGTCAGGGCACATGCAGGGATTGTGGGCTCGATCCCCAGTGTGAGGCTTGCAGGGGGCAGCCGGTCCATGTTTCTCCCTTACGTGGATGTTTCTCTCTCTCTCTCTCTCTCTCTCTCTCTCTCTCTCTTTCTCTCAAAAATCAATAAAAGACATATTAAAAAAAATAAGGATGTCCAGGCAGTGTAGCTCAGGAGGGTCGACCCATGCACCAAGAGGTCACTGGTTCAATTCCTGGTCAGGACACATGCCCAGGTTGTGGGCCTGATCCCTAGTGGGGGCATGCAGGAGGCGGCCAGTCAGTGTTCTCTCTCATCGATGTTTCTATCTGTCACTTCCTCTCACTCTAAAATCAATAAAGGAAAAAAAAAAACTTTAAAAAAAAGTATGTTTCCTTTTTCTAGTTTGCTAAAAGTTAGAATATTGAATATTATGAAAAGTCGCACATACAGAACAAGGATTTTGTTGTTGGAACCATTCGAAATTAAATTGGGACACCTTTCTTGAATACTTTAGTGCGTATTTCCTACAAACAAGGACACTCTTTCACATAATTACAATATAGCTATAAAATTCAGAAAATTAACATTAATATATTACTACCACCTAATCCTCAAACCACTCAGGTTTCATCTATTGTCCTAATAACTTTCTGTATAACAAAGGATTCTAATTCATGGGCTCCATATGGTCTTCATGTCTACAGTTTTCTCTTTTGAATTTGTTAGTAATATGTTACGTGCTTCTTTTCTGCTGTTAACACCATTCTGAGATTAACACTATTTGATCATGATATTTTATTTTAGTATATTTTTATGTTAATTTGCTACTATTTTTAGTAAACTTTATTGTTATAATTTATATAAAACAAAATTCATCTACTTTAAGTATACAGTTTGGACAGTTTTAAGACATGTATTTACCAGTGTAACCACAATCACCATCAAGATATACAACATGTCCATTATCCCAAAACATTCCCTTCTGCCTCCTGCCTCCTTGGGACCTCTTCTTCCCCACCCCTAGTCCCCACCTTGTCTTTTCCTGAATCTCATATGAGAGAAATCCTACAGCATGTATTCGTTTGAGTCTGGCTTTCTTTTCTCAGTACAGTATTTGCTCAGTACACTTTCTACTATGTTACTGAATGTGTCTGTATATTTTTCCTTTTTATTTTTGCTATTAACATCTGTATATGAGTCTTTGTGTGTGAACATATGCTTTTATTTCTCTTGGGCAAATACATAGAAGAGGAATGCTGGGGGCAACTTATCCAGCTGGGTCATAAGTTAAGTGTATGTTTAAAAGTGATTACATCATTTTACACTTCTAACAACAACGTGTAAGAATTTCATTTTCTCTGTATCCTTGACACTTGTATTTTCAGTCTTTTTCATTCTTGCCAGTCAAGTGAGTGTATGTTAGTATCTTAGTGTGGTTTTAATTTGCCTAAGCGTTAATGATATTGAGATTCTTTTCATGGGCTTATTCAACATTTATAGCTCTTTCTATGAA